AAAGAAATTTGTTGATTATTGATTATTTGCAAGGAATGTAAAAAACAAAACTGAAGAATTTTAAGCATAATATTTGAATAAACAGGATAAATTGATACAACTGTTTTTATTAACTTTATATAACTGACATGCTGAAAAATCCCTAGTTAGGATAAAAAAAATTATTTAATATTTTTTCAAAATATTCACCCTAAACTTCAATACATTTTCTCGATGATTTTTCCACTTTAGAAAACAATTTAAAAAATCAGCTTCTTCGGGGATGGTAAAGTTTTCATCGATTCGTCTTGTATAAGTTCCATTAATTCAACATTGACCGCAAGAAAACGAACATTGCCAGTTATACATAACTATTTACACGAGTAACACTATATATAAATTTAAATAATGATTTTAAAAATTTTAAAGTTTTATATTTGAATTGAATAAGCGTTTGAATATTTATCATTTGGTTTGAAGAGAGATTGAACGTTTCGTTTGTTTTCAATTTCTTTTTTACTATTTTCAAATTTTCGATAATTAATTATATAGATCCGCTTTATTTACGCCAGAGATATTATTTATATCGCATTTACATGAATTTATCCAGCGAAAAGAATTCAAACACTAATAATATTTTTGGCGAAGTTTTAATATATATTTCCAAGCAATATCTATTTTTTAAATCAATCTTATTATTATAGAACTATATGTATAGTTTTATTCGTATAAATTGTTATGTATAACTGGCAATGTTCATTTTTCACAATGTTGACCGACTTAAACTGCGGTATTATCCGTTTTTAATTTAAAAAATTCGAAAATTTTTTAAATTAAAAATGACTAATTACAAAAAAAGACGGCATTTATTACCATATACATTTTTAAATTTATTTTTCGTTTAGATTTATTACAGTATATTTTTAACACACATTTTATATATTATTTTTTTTCTTATTTGTCATTTACTGTATTGATTAATCGAAACCGATAGTGTAACGCAGTCGATTCTGTATATATAAAAACGTTTTTAATATTTAAATTAATATTCAAATATTTAGAACAATTCCTTTTGTATAAATATGTTTAATAAATTTAAAAAATTCGAATCCAAATCTGATCAACTTAAATTATTCATAAAATTAAAAAAAATATCAATTTAGCATAAAAGTTCATTTAGAAAAAAATTAATAATATTTGAAATTTTTAAATTAGTTTAATCAACTTTTTTCCGTCGCAAAAGTAAATATAACTCAAACATTTGAATTTACCTTACGCAATCGTTTGACGCCAGCCATCTTCGTTTAACATTTGACGTCCTCTAACGGAGGGAATGTTTTATAAAATTCGGTTGATTTGTTTTTTATCTTTAGAAAAAAAATTAACAAAAATTAATTGTTAATTTTCGCTATAATTTTGCATTGATAAATCATTGAAAGCAATATAACGTTTTAAAATGTTAGATACTGTATATAAAATTTTACCTATAAATAACAAAAGTTAAAGGGTTGAATTGAGTATTTTGGTCGAAATTAAAGTATTGATTGTAAATTTAATTTCGGGTTTTTTTAATTCTGAACGGTCCTTTCTTAACTCTAATAAGCGTCCTCCAGTAGCAGAGTGCATAAAACTACCAAACTCTGGTAGTTAGTTAGTCGTGGGTTGGGGCATGTCAAACGGCTGATCAAGTAGAGTTTTCTGGGTTTTCTTCACCTAAATAGGGTCCAACTTTCCATAAAAGTTTCCCTGGGATGCATTCTCCTTGTCAGATCACTCACATGTCGCATTGTTGTGACTAAGTACACTAAACTAATTCTAACGAGCGATTATTTATTGTGGCATCGTCACAATGTCGGACTGTAACTTTTCGTCACAATGTTCTCGATTCTTTTAGTGGTGTCTTGTCTCTGTACGTCATATTTTTTCTGTTAGCAATAGAGTCGTGTTGGTCATCTATCTAGCTCCGTTCAGAAGAGAATTTTCGAATCGAAGTAATGTGACTTCCAGTTTGGAACGGAAGTCATGTTACTTCGATTAGTTACTTCGTATATACTTCGTAAATATATGAAGTAACTAATCGAAGTCGAGACCAGATGTGGGCTTCCACATCTGGTCGCGACTTTCATCTATCTAACTCCTTCCATAATCTCAAGGAGGCAGACACAGAGAACGACAATCGAAATTTGTAGAACTACAATTTTTTCAAATTGCAGCACAATAATTTTTCTATAAACGCAATATTTACGAGAACATACTTCCCACATAGTTTATACAATCTGTTGCGAAAATTTAAACACTTTAAGTCAAAGGAGTTATTCTAGCATTTTTACAATATTTTTTTATTTAAACAAGTTTTATATCGTCTTTCGGACGTTAAGGTTAGCAACTTCGATCACATGCGGGGCCATCACAACCTGTCTAACACGGACTACTTTTCAAATATTAATAGTAGACCGCTGTTAATTAGTAGTTGTTGAACATCTCTTCTGGGAGGAGGTCAACGACTACCTTTGATCGAATTATTTCAATCTCCTTCGGCAACAGCCTCTTCTTTCTATCGGATCAGCATTATGGTGGACACTCGAATAGGAAAAGTTCATAATACAAGATTACCAACGAGCACAAAATATGTTTTAAGTGGTTTTCCCGGGTGCAGAGTTTAAATATTTGGTCGATTTTTCGTGAAAATTGACTCGATGACTGATGACCATTTAATATTCGGCTGTGAATAAAACAGTTCGTTACAGCTAACATTAGAAAAAATATATATACCTTAAAAAATTTAAGATATCATATTTTCAATTGACCTCTACTTGACCAATGAAACTGTACCTTTTCGTACCATCGGTATCGCGATAAACATGACAATAGTAAGCTAAAATAACCAAACTCTTTATATAGTTTTCGTTTTGATTATGATATTTGATTTATATAATTACAAAGGTTATTTTACACACCGAGTGACCAATCTAACAAATTTTAAAAATTCTTTATTCCACTACTATACACAATTTAAAGAATTTTTAAACTGTGATATTAAGATAACCTTTGTAGTTATATAAATCAAATATTATAATATAATATAATAGAAGGGTTAGAAGTTCGAAATAATTTAATAATCTTAATGTTTGTACTTATTTTTTGCATGGGCAACGCAGGGCTTACCCACTAGTAATTTAATAAAACGCTTAAACGATTTCATCATGTAACTTTTCATCCTAATTTGTATAATTACAAATTCTTCGTTTCGGTTTCAGATATTGACACATTTTCTGCAGAAAAAGGTTTGAATAAATTTTTAATTTTGATAATTTACTCCAATAAAATTTATTTATAATCAATTTCTTTAGACTAAAATGGAGGAAGTATATATATATGTAATCAGCTGTTTAAACTTTTAATTAAAATATGTGTTTATCTTATTGCCATAAATCGTGTAAAATAATATATTTTTAAAATTAGAGCATTATGATTAAATTTTTTTTGGAATTTATTTGGGCACTATATACCGTGAAAAGCTAACAGATTGTTTAAAACATCGGTAGAAAATGATAGCAAACTATTGGACTGCAATTTCAAATTGCAACCCAACAACGATACAGTCCATCTCTCCTTTGTTAACTCGAGTACGGAGTAAGATAAATAAAAATCGAGACCGGATATGGAAACATAGAGGCCGAAGTCCCCGATTACGTGATTTCAATTCAAAAATTTTATTTAAATTAAAAATGATTAACCATTGCAACCCGGATTGTGACGATATCACGATAAATAATATGATTTTTCTCTATTATTTTTTTTATCACATCTATCATTAATTTGAATTATTAAATAATTCTAATTGAATCATTAAATATTATTATTCTCGTCGTAAAGGCTTCAGATCAGATTCTACTTGTATATTATTTTGTGGATAGTTCGTAGTGTAGTATTTCATCCATTTTTTGCTTCCCGACCATATTGAGAATTAAATTGTATATAAATTCAATTTTTTTAAATACTCTTTTTGCTTTTGCGTAATAAAAGGTGTTTTTTCTTACGTCTAACATGGATTCTGGAAGACCCAGAATAAAGTGGAAGAGAAACTGCCCGATATATACGGATATATGCCAATTAATCAATAATAATAATAATAATTATTAATATTATATTTTTAAAGAAGTCGAATTAATTCAAACAACCGGTTATTGCTTTTTTTACGATTTTACTTCTTTTTAAAATTATATATTATATACTGTATATTAATATTAATATA